GACTGAGCTGCTTTGAGAAGGGAGGATTATTTGTGTTACAAAATGCAACTTAAGGCTGACATGCTTAGAACACAGTTTATAAGTTTAGATTTATTATATTGTACTCTAGGGATGCATAGAAAAGAAATTAATTCCATGGTCCAAATGTCCAGTTATTTCTCCCAGCTGCACCCCAGCCCTGAGCTGGGGCCATAGGTCAGGAAGTCACCTCTGTTGTCATATGACTGTCCCTGTGCAGGACAATACATACTTACAGGTTACCTTAGCTCCTACCGTATCTTAAATCCATTGATTGCAGTAGATTTAAGCATAAACTTAGAAGTCATCTGAACAAGATATATTTTTTTATTTTTATTTTTTTTTTCAATTAGGGTTTAAAGACTTCTAACACTTTTGAAACCTACCTATGTAACATCCAAGAAAGGTTATGCCCTGTGTTGTGCTGGTAATTTTTTCATTTTATCTCATCTTGGTCAAACAACTTTATCTCACCTTGGTTCAACAATTTTATTTCATCTTGGTCAAGCCAAAGTGTGGCATGGGTTCATCAGTTGCTCCTGTGTGTTAGCAGGGGAGTTGGTTCTGGATGTAGGCAAAGAAAAGATTTAGTAAATAGAGACAGACATCAGTTGCGTGGGGCAGCAGGCACAGCAGAAGAGCCAGGCCACCCCCATCTCTCGGTGTACAGTGGATTCTGGTTTGGGGAAAACCAGGTTGCTGCTGCAGCTGTGATGGGCTGTGCAGGATGGCAGCCCCTCCAGGCACAGGACCGTGAGTCCTTCCTCTGCCACCATCCGTGGAGGATCTGCAAGGCTGGCTGTCAGGGATGCTTGTTTCAAGTCTTATCCTTGCTCCCCTCTACTCCACTTTTTGCAGAAGGAGAGTCCCAGTTCTGAAATCATCCCAGGAGAAGCACAGTTTGGATTCTCCTGTGTTTCAAGGAGCTGTAACCCTGACATAGTGCCAGGAGAGGAACTGCTGGAAGAGGTTCATGTGAGAGTTGTCCCTCCTGGGGCTCTGTTTTGTCAACAGAAACATAGAGGTGGATCGAAGTCAACTATTGCTTGTAAAGTCCAATGTGAACACACAGAGATGATGGGAACAGCAGGAAAACTATGAAATCTATACCCACATATTATCATAGAATGGTTTGGGTTGGAAGGGCCCTTCAAAGCTCATCTAGTCCAACCCCCCTGCAGTGAGCAGGGACATCTTCAACCAGATCAAGTTGCTCAGAGCCCCATCAAACCTGACCTTGAACGCTTCTGGGGATGGGGCTTCTGCCACCTCTCTGGGCAACCTGTGCCAGTGTTTCACCACCCTCATTGTAAAAACTTTTTTTCCTTATATCTCATCTAAATCTCCCCTCTTTTAGTTTAAAACTTTTACCCTTTGTCCTATCACTACAGGCCATGCTAAAAAGTTTGCCCTCATCTTTCTTACAGGCCCGCTTTAAGTATTGAAAGGCTGCAATAAGGTCTTCCCTTTTCCAGGCTGAACAATCTCAACTCTCTCGGCCTTTCTTCATAGAAGATATCTTCCATCCCTCTGTTTTTATGGCTCTCCTCTGGGCCAGTTCCAACAGATCCATGTCTTTCCTGTGCTGAGGACTCCAGACCTGAAAGCAGTACTCCACGTGGAGTCTCACCAGAGCAGAGGGGCTGAATCCCCTCCCTTGACCTGCTGGCCACCCTTCTTTTGATGCAGCCCAGGATACAGTTGGCCTAAGGGCTGCGAGAGCATGTTGCCAGCTCACATCCAGCTTTTCATCTACCAGCACCCCCAAGTCCTTCTTGGCAGGGCTGCTCCCAGTGCCTCCATACCCCAACCTGTATTGATACCGGGGATTGCCCTGACCCACGCGCAGGACCTTGTACTTGATCTTGTTGAACCTCATGAGGTTCACACAGACCCACTTCTCGAGCTTGTCCAGGTTCCTGTGTATGTTATCGTGTCCCTCAGGCATGTCCACCACACTACTCAGGTTGGTGTCACCAGCAAAATTGCTGAGGGTGCACTCGATCCCACTATGTCGTTGATGAAGATATTAAATAGTACTGGTCCCAGTACGGACCCCTGAGGGACAGCACTCGTCACCAGTCTCCATCTGGACATTGAGCTATTGACCATGATACAAATCAATATTGAGTCTTTATATTTAACATCCTGTGTGCTTCAAAATTAAAATGTTCAGATGATATACAGGATAGTTTAACAAGATGAAAAAAAAATACAAGATTAAAAATTAAAATTAAGTTAAAAATACTTATCTTCCCATCTGAACACAAATAGTGGCTTATCCTCTAGAAATGAATAGTTGAGCACCAAACTATCCGAAGACACTGTTCCTTTATAGACTGAAGATTAAAGCCTTAAAACAAATTGACTTTTGTAATCCACATAGTTCAGATAAAACAGTGATTTAAATAGATTTAGAATACATAATTTACAGAGCTCAGAGGTTCAGTAGCTGTTGGAGCGGACTGGTGTGCAGCGCTGTGTTGGAGAACTCGGATCTGCTCTGTGCGTGGGATTAAAGGCGCCTGAAATTTTGTGTTTCCCATGATTATCCATCTCCCCTCCATCTGCTCACGTGGTAGGATGCTGTCTTTTGTATAATTTCAAAGCAGCTTTGAGAGCCCTAGGGATTAGAAAAGGTATATGAATGTTTTATAATGTTATTGATAACTGCAGAGCAGACGCTTTTCTAATAAACTGCTGTGAGATAAGTTACTGGTCGCATCTGCAGAGATGTGTGTAAATGAGCTCAAAATAATTAATACTGTGGTAGAAGAAAGCTTTTTTTAAAAGCACATCTGTATTGGGGCATATAAGATTATTTCAGCCTGCCCTCAGAATGTGTTATAGCACAAATTACCGTAATTTATTAGGGAAAAAGGCATTTCTGTTAATCATATATTAATTATTCATAAAATCTGTATTAATGTTACCTTAATGGGAAGTTTTACCAGCTGGGGTACTGGGCTTGGCAATCTATTCACATCCAAAAAAAGATGAATAGCTTGACTTAAAAAGAAGACATAAAAATGACTTACAAGAGCATAAAAGCAGCAAGGATGGGTATATGAGTTAACATAGAGCTGGCTGCGGTACAGCAGTCCAGCCAGCTAAGCACTCTGTATTTTGGCTCTAGCAATGGTTTGTGCCTGAATGGAATTCAAGTAGAAACACTGAAGAAAGTTCGTTACAAACCAGTCCTGTATACCCTGCTTTAATGCTTTGTGGCTTTTCAGCAAGCATATATCTGGTGAGTCTGAAGTAAGGTAGAAAGATACTC